CACATAACGGCTTATGTGTAGGCGTGTAGCATAAAAGCACATAAAAAAACATTATTGGGACATTTGATGAAAGTTCTCAATGATACCAGCCAAAAACTTAATTACAACAACTTATTAGAAAAATACATAGTTTTACTTAAATAAAAGCATGAAAAGTTATCATATATTTATAACATCTGATTTGGGTATGACAGTAAACTTATTGTCTGATCCATAGATTCTTACATACCAATAAATGCTTCTGCTGCTTCTTGTCTCCCATGAACTTCTAAAAACCTTGTTACAACAACCTAACACAAAAACAACATACACAAAGTATATATTAAAAAACTAATCTAGTGTAAGAAGGAAAGGCATTCAAGATACTCTTCTCTGTCTTCTTGAGTAAATACTTCAATTTTTTATCATCTTATCTACCTCATCTGCAGGCAATGTTCTAGCGCATGTGATAGTAATGTCTTGTTTTTCCTACTCTCCTTGTCAAAAAAGTGACAGACACTGAGTATTCTATCTTGTGCTTAAGTTTTAACTTATTCAATAACCAATAAGCATTTTTTTTTAAAAAAAGAACCTATAAGCATAAAATTGATGAAGGTTTTATATGTTTAAATCTTTGCCAAAGACGTGAGCATTTACCTCCCTTTGCTGGCTGCTGCTACCCTAGGGTAATTTAACCAGAAAAGATGTCCTAAATATTAAAAGTGGGCCAAAAAGCTGCCAAAGACTACATATGTGCTCCTAAAATAGCACGAATGTTTGATCGACATTAAAATGAAATACAAAATCAATAATATCCACACTCTCAATTTCATAGCTTCAAGAGTTTGATTCTAATTTCTTGAAGGAGGTAAATCTTTTATAACAAACTTATCAAGAGATCCTTTTGAAAACTGTTTAAACTTTCTAATTTTATTATTCATTTTAAATCAAAGCGTCGATGAGAAACCACAGGCAGCCCCCTCCCTGTATTCTTGTCTGCTGCATGTATCCACGAATAATTCACACTCGAAAATCTGATTCGTACAATATATTTAAGTTTATTAGATTCATCAAACCCTGTAAAGTTCATGAATTAGATTTGATGTAATTCACACTCAAAAATCTGATTTGTACAATAAATCTAAGTTTATGAGATTCATCAAACCCTGTATAGTTCATGAATTAGACTTTATTAGAAGGAATCACTCTATATTCTCAAAAGAGTGATTCAAATGCTTGAAAACTACCACAGGGAACATCCAAGGTGGAGCATGAAAAAGGAGTACTGGCGTGTAAGACAATGAGGATTTGATATGAAGACGACACTCCACCCAGCTTACTTTTAAAATGCCATGCAATAAGCCATATGGAAGCATTGCCATCGGAAAAATCTTCTTATAACGAATCAGACAAAGAAGCATTGTCGTTTTAAAAATAGACCTTGTGTAATTATAAAATTAGCAAAACGACAATTTGAAAAGTGAGACGGTTTAACCAATATCTACATTAATGGCAGACCACTAATATCCACACTGACAATGAGGAGGTAAATTAATGCATATGATTTCAATTTCAGATTCTGTATTCCCCTTTTTGTTGATGATAAAACGCCATTATTTGGTGCCCCCTTAGTGGCCATTTAGGAGAGAATTGATACTTTTTATATAGACTAACTGACAATGAGGAGGTAAATTCATGCATTTGATTTCAATTTCAGATTTTGTATTCCCCTTTTTGTTGATGAAAACACCATTATTTAGTGTCCCCCTTAATGGCGATTTAGCAGAGACTTGATACTTTTTATATAGTCAAACCATTAACTACAAAAGGGAGAAGTTCATATACCTTATTTGTCACCCATGGTTTAGCTTAGTAACCACTAACGGCGTATGTGCTTGAAAGGAAGAAATAACAACATCTTGTGCGAAGTTCATTGGGGCATTTTCTCCAAACAATAATCCAAATCCTTATTGCTCGACTCTGAACTTTAAGCATCCAAATATAACATTGGCAACATTGAACAAAAGAAAGTAAAGACAAATCAAAATTAAATGAATTATGAAGTATTTATATGTGCCTTTTTTAGCAAGATATTGTGTTCGTGAGGTTGTGGCTAAGTAGGTGTCTCCTCTGTTCCTTCTTCACCGCCTCAACTCACTACGACCTCTACATGTTGATGCACCATTGCAGCACACCAACAGATTCCCATTAGCAGTTTTCCCATCTCCATTGCTTTTCTACCATTTCAATTTCAAAACCAATTCCCAAATAATAACAACTATATTAAGAAATTCAAACAAAAGTTAAGGGAGACTCACTCACATTAGAATGAAATATGAGTAGTGCATCAAACTGGCTTTCAGAAACCCTCAATGAATCACCATCGGTTTCTAATTTCTGAAGATCCAATGAGTTTTTTTATAAAAAGAACTTAGCATATAAAAAAAAGAAGTGTTACCTCTTTTTTGAATCTGTCTTGTAAGTGCTGCACTGGTATCCTCCATGGGCGAGGCTAGGCTCAAAATCCTAGCTCGGACTTGTTGTCACCTCTGCTAGCTTATCCCCCATCGATGTATTGTCAGATTACAAAGTCGGTGGCTAGAGTTCCAAACCCTAGCCTTCACGCCAAGAATCGATTTGTCCGCATTCCACCATAGGTGTCGCCTTAGATGGTTGAGGGTCGTCGAACAACGACATGGGGATGCTATGTGACCTGATATATGTTGGTAAAGTTTCCTCTCTACATCGTGTTGTATATTTCTGCCTACGACATGCTTATCTCGTTGTATATCTTCACCTGCGCCATTCTGGATGATAGTTTTAAACAAAAATTAGTGAATGCTTCCACAAGTAAGAGCTCAGTAAATTTTGCATCAAACTTTATTTCCATTTACACACACCAATCAAATATGGTACAAAAGTATGAAGTTGAATAAAATTCGAAGTATGCAATGACTATAGAATAATATCTTAGCTCATCCGCCGCACCATAATCCTCATAAACAATCAGCTTTACAAAATATGATGGCAGAACACACCAACAGGTTACAAATTTTTTCTGAACTGCAGTAATTTTCTCCATAAATAGACAATTTTGAAAAATCAAATAAAATTGATAAATCATTAAACTGTATAATAAGTTAATAAGCAGACATGGTGTTTCAAATTGAGATTGACCTTTAGATCTAAAAAACCCCATCCTACAGTGTATTATTCAAAAAAAATATCCCAATTCAGGGGCATCAAGCAACCATATCTCAAATCTGAAGACGATTCAAGTTATGTGTTCATTTTTTCTTTCATCCCAAAATTCAATGCAATAATCCTTTGTTGACCATTAAACATTGGTTGGAAGACAGGATGGAAACTCTCTCTAAAAAACTTTTGTTGAAATTATTAATCGGAACAATTATATTGGAATTTACCAAAAGAAAGACAATCTAGGAATACGTAGCTAATTAACGTATATTGAAGAACAATATGAATCGAATATGCACGATTAAATTAGGGATAAATAACAATAAAACATATCAAGATGTTAGTTTAACCCCTAAATGTTTACATGTAGAACAAATCTAGATAAATTTGATAACAATTATCAAACTTATGTAGATAAGTTTAACCCCCATATGGTGTCATCATCTACATGTTAGTTTAACCCCCTAATGTTTACATGTAGAACAAATCTATATAAGTTTGGTAACAATTATCAATTTTATTAAGTAATGTATTTACTTCTAATTTTTTAAAACCTCCAAAGGCTCATACTCTGAAAAAATCAGAGACGGGAAAAACACACAAATTACTTGAATTTAGATTTTATGAGGGATGATACATTCGCTCACTTTTAAACACCTACATATTGAACAGACAAACTAATTTCTTGAGAATGAAATCGAGATGAAAAAAGATATTTAAGGTGGCCATGCACCCATGGTTGCAAGTTAATTTTTTCTACAATTTTATTTGACTATAATTTCTATGTCTATATATCATTAGCAGTGTTAGTCAAATATTTACACAATGAACACAAAAGCAAATATCAAAAGCAGGCATTACCTGCAATCTGATAAGGTCCTTATTCATTCTCATTTTATAGATGAAAAATGATTCCTAGAATTTTAGAAAATTAATTTGTATTTAAAAATGTATAGTTAAAAATTACCCCATTTAGGAAAATTATACTTAAACATAAAGATGGAATGACAAAAATAAAAAAGAAATCAATTTAAAAAATTAAAGAGGAAACCTGGATGGCTTAGATGGCCACAAATAGTGTGAATTGGGACGAATCGTGCAAATAGGGTCGACTAATTTGCTTGTCTGTTGCAACAAAAAGATCGGTAACCTCGAAGAATATCCCTGATTTGCATCGGCCAAGTTACAGTCCAAAAAAACATCTGGTCTCTGGTTCGAAAGTTGGAGAAGGAGAGAATGAAATTTCCGTCAATTGGTACTTTGTAGAGTTTCCACCGGTGAAGAAGAAGAGATTATACATAAATACAAAAAGAATCAAAAATTCGAAACATACCTAATTTGGAGTCTTTTACTCAGTGACAGCCGCGGAAGCCAATCGCGGTGGTGACAGCCGCGGAAGACCTGCAAGCTCTCTTCTCCGATGCAGCGATAAGTTAAGGATGAACCCAAGAGATAGAATCGAGAAAAGAAACGGCTGCAGTTAGGGGAATGTCCAAAGTCTCTGTTCAATTATTCCACTATGATAGTTGGCAATCCCACTCAGCAAAAATTAAGCGACATATCTGCCACGTGTCAACACCACATGCAAAAAACCCTACTTTATATATATATATATATATATATATATATATATATATATATATATATATATATATATATATATATATATATATATATATATATATATATATATATATATATATATATATATACCCCCTGAGCCAACACCGTTTCCCTCCGTTATTTTAGCTCTTTTTCCGTCTATGTTTCCGTCCCATTACCCACAGCAACACTGTCACTGCCTTTCTGGATTTCTTCCTTCCATTTCTCTTTCCCCACACTCTTCTCCTACTTCCTTCAATTCACCGCCACTGCCGTTCCTTCTCGTACTTCCCCCCACCGCCACCGCCCATCCCAGGCCTCCTAGCCCTATTAATAAATTCGTACCCTCGTTGTTTCTCCAACATTTGTTCTCTTTCACTTTATGCAGGTAAGTCTTCTCTCTAATTTATTTTGGCTACTGCGTATCATCAACCCTTCATCTATTTCTCCTTCTTTTCCCAGGTTTTCTTTCTTAAAAAACCTAATTTAGTTACCCTTTATCATGTGCTCACGCCCTTTATTTTTTACATAGAGAGTAAAATTTTTCTTTGCTACAATCTGTGCTTTTGAATTAGATTTTTTTAAGAGTAATTTACGACTTATGAATTGACACTGCATGTTAATCTTGCTTTAAAAAGTGGAACCCACTGCAATTTTAAATGAAGAAATTCTGTTCTTCATTGGAATTCATTTAAAACAAAGAATATCTGAATATGAAATTGAAACAGAGTATATATTTGAAGTTGGTTTTGAAACAGAATATGAATTTGAAGTTACTTTTTGGAATACATGTGAAACACCTAGGGCTGGTTGTAAAATTGAACTTCAGTCTCGTTTGGAAAATCTTTTGCAACTATTTTCTATGCTTCAAAGATGTATACTTTTACCATATGTTGGATCCAAAGGTTGGGATGTATTACTTAACAAGGGGGATTCTAAAGACATACAAAGTATTTCACTTCATCACTCTTTCTTCTCACTTTTGTTCAAAAAAAAGGAAAGAAACTTTTACCAATTTCTATCTTCATATTTCTCTTCATCCAAACACCACATTTTTTTCTTACATTTCTCTTCATTTTCTCCTCCATATTTCATTTGTTTGTTTTAAACTGTTGTACTTATATGTATTTAAAACCATGACTTTGAAGTTTGTTTTCAAAACAAAATTGATTTTTTAAAGCAATTTCAGTTTGCATTGATTTCCAACAGAAAAGAGAAATATTAGTGGTTGGTTTTCCTATATAATATGATTTTGAAGTTGATTTTCATGAAGAAACTGGAGCATTTATGCTTCCTTTACTCCTATGGTTACTATAGTACATAGTAAAAACATCTACAATTCTTTCACTGTTTTGTGCATCAAACATTTTAAGAGGATAGATTGGTTCATAAAAAGGTTGGGATGTATTACTTAATAAGGGGGGATTCTAAAGGCATACAAATTAATAAGCAAAGACATTAATAAGCTACGACGAAGCATTGGATCCTAAGTACAGAAACTGCCAAGACATGCTACATACACTAACATTTGCAGGCCTGCCTCCCCATGCCTTGGTTTTAAAAAAAAATTGCCCGTTGATCCTGTTAAGAAATCTGAATCCATGCGAAGGACTATGCAATGGCACACGCTTAATCTGTACTGCATTTACTGATCATATCATTAGTTGTTACATAGCATTTGGTGAGTACAAGGAGAAGCATGTTTTCATTCCAAGAATACCACTGCAGATTTCTAAAGATGAACATTCTTCCATTCCATTTAAAAGAACCCAGTTCCCAGTTAAGCTCTGTTTCGCAATGACAATCAACAAATCGCAAGGTCAGACACTGGAATTTGCTGGAATATATCTCAGACAACCTGTTTTTTCACACGGCCAATTATACGTTGCGATGTCCCGTGCAAAAAATGCTGCCTCCATAAAGATGCTTATCCATGATGAATTACACACCGTTGGAATTAATGGACATCGATGATCTGAACTTCCAATATAGTGTACAAGGAAATCTTAGAATACCTAACACAGTAATACACAAGGTACACATTCCAAACTTATCTTCCATTCAAAAAAAAATTCTCAAAATACACTCCTCTACTTCACTAACCGCACCGTTTCCTCCTCCTTTTATTGTAGAAGAAGAAATAAATGGTGCCTCAAAGGCCCCTCGATGGTATGTAACTAGTGCTCTTCAGGAATTTTAGGAAGTACGATTTTTTATTTCAATTAAGTTGTTATCTATTTCAAACATAGAGATAAAAAACAGAAAAGTTTTAACAAGTAAAGGCATTAAATCTCATTCTTGAAAAGATTGGTTTTGAACATTATGAATATGACCTATATATATCTTCTTCATTTTTTTGTCCTTCATCTAGATAGAAGAAAGTGAGTAACAGTATCATAAACTTTTCATTTGTATATTGAAAAATGTTTAGGAGACGTGTGAATAAAGGTCGTTGTTCAGAGAATTTAGAAAGTAGTTGTTTTCTTAACCTAAATAGTTAGATAGTAGTATTGTCTTTATTATTCAGGAGGAATTATATTCATAAATCGTTATCCTTAATTAGTGTAATACCAAACAAATTTGAATAAATGTGAAGCTCTATGGCATACATTCCCTCTCATACCCATTACGTTCATTGAAACAGTGTTTCTTCATTTTGTAGTCTGTTGATGTGGAAATACATATACCTAACAACACAACAGATTGTTTTGCTTTTCGAAAAATGTTTTAATCTTTATCTGCTGTATCTCTTAAGGAGTAATATCATTACTATACAACTTATGTATCAAAAATAAATATACCTTCTTAAATCAGGATGCTCACCATATTAAATAAACAAATTCTATCACTATTTTGAATGGTATATTTCCTTAGGGAGGTAACTCTTCTGCACAACCTATTAACCTCTGTAATATTGTTTGCTGGAATCTATCTTCTAAAATTATGTTGCCTGATTATGTCTATTACAGAATTTAGGTACATTAAGCCTCCTTGCACATTACATACCAAAAACTGAATTTTGATTTTCATTTAATCCAACTTTATAACAGGTTCGACCAATGGATGTAGAACAACCCCTCCTAGATGTTACTCCCAGTTCCAGATCATGGAGTTGCAAAGTTATTGTAATAGAGAAGCTGAATACAAGACAGGCACGTCGAGATCCTGAAAAAACTTACAAATCTGTGATCATGCAAGATAGTGAGGTATAAGTCTTTACCAAACACCAATACCCAATATAAATCGAATAAGATAATTGTGCATTCTGTATAAAACTACTAATAACTTGTGATAGAATATAGACAAACAATATATTTCACACACAGAGAATGAATACAATCCAGAGTATTTATAGGAGTAAGTCCTATATAGACTAGGAATAGGAAAATAGAAGGTGACTAGGATACAACAACTATGATAACTAAAACAACCACAACTAGGAGTCCTATGACTGTCTAACATCCCCCCTCAAACTGAACTTCGTGTCACGAGTGGAAGTTTGGACACAAGATGTTGAAACCGCGGCTTGGTTAGTGGTTTAGTGAGCAAGTCAGCAAGCTGATCTTCAGAGA